AATCATTAGCTTGCACCTCTGTTTTGAGATTTAAATGCAAATACTCAATTGACTAAAAGTCATCTTAAAGTCATTATGCCCCAGACTGAATTCAGCTTTACCCCTAAAGCCTGTGATTTTCCCCTCCTTGACATGGTACACGGCACCACCACCATACATTTAAGCCAGAATCCCAGGAGTTAGCCCGGACTCTTCCCCATCTTTTACTCCACCCTCCACCCTCGTGCCCAGTCACCAGTTTCTATACAGCCTGCTTCCTAAATGTCCCTTGACTGTATCCACTTACATCCATCCCCAAAGCTATTTTCCTGTCAGGCCACCACCACTTCTAACCAAGATGACTGCACTGACCTTCTAACTCTAACCAAGATGACTGCACTGACCTTCTAACTGGCCACCCTGTGTCCAGTCTTAACCTCTTCAGTCAAGTCTCCAGTCTTCTGCTAACCAGCCAGTTCTAAAAATTTGATCACATGAACAATTCTGCTTAAAATCCTTCATGACCTTCTAGTCCTCAAGATATACAGACTCCTCCATCTGGCTTCACGACTTCACCTGTTAGCCTCACGTCCCTCCTCTGCCCCACTGGTAATCCACATTCCAGTCACGTATGCTTCTTTCAGTTACTCAGCCCCAGTTTGGCCCTCACACCCTCTCTCTTGCCTCCAGGGCTTCCTACATACTATTTCTTACTCCCTGGAGCATTTCCCCATCCGCCCCTCACTTTAAAAAAAAAATTTCTCTCATTCTTGAGGTCTCATTGATTTAGGAAGCCTTTTATGATACCTCTCCAGTGTGGCTTCTCTAGGCTCCCATAGGACCCAACATTCCCCCATCATAGGACTTAGCATACTTGATGATGTAACTTCTTGAATCTGTTGGTCTTCCTGAGTATACTGTAAGACATCTATCTTGTCCCCATTTTGTCCTGATCATGAAACACAGTAGTAGTTTAACAATTCTGTGATAAATGAATTTTTCAATTTTCTTCAAGTCTTCCATGGGACTCCTCTTTCCATTCATTTCTGCTCCATCCTTGCCTAAGGTGGAGCATTGCCCAGCACACAGTAGGTACTGCATATGGCAGACACATGGTAAGCCGACTAGCCGAAAGCCCTCCTTCTCTTCCTCGTCATTCAGAGTCAGCTTTTACACAGGGATATAAAATGCTAAGCTAAGTAATCAGTTTCCCATCCTCTCTGCAGCTAGGGGTGCCATGTGGTACACTTCTGATCAACGAGAAGAAACCCGATGCATTCTGGATGGGATGTGGGAAAGCTTTTGCTTTCCCAATTAAAAAAGAGTACAGTAGGCTGGGCGCGGTGGCTCACGCCTGTAATCCCAGCACTTTGGGAGGCTGAGGCTGGTGGATCACCTGAGGTCGGGAGTTCAACACCAGCCTGACCAACATGGAGAAACCCTGTCCCTACTAAAAATGCAAAATTAGCCGGGCGTGGTAGCGCATGCCTATAATTCAGCTACTCAGGAGGCTGAGGCAGGAGAATTGTTTGAACCCAGGAGGCGGAGGTTGTGGTGAGCTGAGATAGCGCCACTGCACTCCAGCCTGGCAACAGAGGGAGACTCCATCTCAAAACAAAACAAAACAACACAAAATACCATATTTTTGAAGAATAAAACAAATACCGTATTTTGCCACTCAGAAAAAAATGATGAACACTTTGTCATATAAAACCAGACAGTAATAACCATCTGTGGGACCACATCCAAGACCCAATGCCCCTTCTGATTCTCCTACCCTTCTCCCCAGAAACCACGGCCATCATGGATTTTTGGGTGTATCTTTCCAGGCCTTTAAAAATATTTTTCTATATGGATGTATTTGTGTATAATAAAGTATTTCTTTGTGTGAATTTACATAATCATTTAATCTACAAATGAGGGCTATTTCAGCTCACTTTGTCTAATAACACTCATTTCTTAGGTTTCTGTCTTATTGCAGTAGTGCTAGCAGGCATTTGGGGTTTTCAAACTAACTGTACTGATATTACTTCTGATATTGCACATTAATATGAATTATATAGGTTTTCTCAGGTTAGGGAAGTTTCCTTTTATTCCTATTTGCTAAGAGTTTTTTTTTTTTTTTTTAAGATAGGGTCTCACTAGGTCACCTAGGCTGAAGTGCAGTAGTGGTGGCACTATCTTGGCTCACTGCAGCCTCGACCTCCTGGGCTCAAGCAATCCTCCCACCTCAGCCTCCCAAGTGGCTGGGACTACAGGTACACGCTACCATGCCCAATTTATTTTTGTATTTTCTGTAGAGGCGGGGTTTCACCATGTTGCCAAGCTGGTCTCAAACTCCTGGGCTCAAGTGATCCTCCTGCCTCGCCCTCCCAAAGTGCTGGGATTATAGGTGTGAGCCACTGCGTTCAGCCAAGTGGCTTTTTTTAATCGTAAGTTTTTTAAGAAACCAAGGTTTGTTTTTTTTAAATTCGTCAAATCACAAATGAGTATTGAATTTTATTAAGCCTATTCAATAAATTTTTCATTTCCATTATTATATATTATATATTTACTTATCTGATGATAATGACTGTTTAAAAATATTTTATGAAGTTATTTCCTTGTACATGTAATGGTTTAGATCATAATATTTTGAAACACTTGCTAAAGCATTTAAATTTTAGATTGTTATAATGTAGTTGATGTGGTGATGTGGAGATGGGTATCCGATGAGTCTGAGACAGGTTCTGGGGGAAGCCAACCACCATGGCCCGAGGCTATTCAAACAACCCTCTGGAAAGGCCCAAGGAAGGAGCCTCTGGTAAAGGGAACCGAGGTGCCTCTTGCCAACAGCCAGTACAAATATGCCAACCCTGTGAGTGAGTGTGATGGGTTGAACCGTGTCCCCCAAACCTCCTATATTGAAGTCCTACCCCCAGACTTTCACAGTGTGACAGTATCTGAAGATAGGGTCTTTAAAAAGGTCATTAAGGTTACCTGAGGTTTTTCAGGTAGGCCCAAATCTGATACGACTGGTGTCCTTATAAGAGGAGCCTGGGCAACATGGCAAGACCCCATCTCTACAAAAATATTTTTAAAAAATTAGCCAAGTGTGGTGGTACACACCTATAGTCCCAACTACTCTGGAGGCTGAGGCAGGAGGACGGTTCAGGCTCTCGAGGCTGAGGCTATACTAAGCTATGTTTGCACCACCGTACCTCAGCCTGGGTGACAGAGTGAAACTCTGTCTTGAAAAAAAAATAGGGGGGAAATGTCAACACAGACATGCACAATGAGAAGATCATATAAAGACCTAGAGAGGATATGGCTGTCTACAAGCCCAGGAGAGAGGCCTCAGAAGAAACCAAACTGCAGATACCTTGATGTTGCACTTCTTGCCTCCAGAACTGTGAGGAAATAAATCTCTGTTGTTTAAGCCACCCGGTCTGTGGTACTTTGTTACAGCAGCCCTAGCAAACCAAGAGTGAGCCACCTTGGAAGCAGATCCTCCAGCTCCAGTCAAGCCTTCGGATAACTGCAGCTTTGGCCAATTATCTGACTGCCATAAGAGAACCCAAGCCAGAACTACCCAGCTAAGCTACTTCCAAATTCCTGACCCACAGAAACTATATGAATTAATAAATGTATCTTCTTCTTTTAAATCACTAAGCTTTGGGGATATTTTGTTGTGCAGCAATGGAAAAACACAGTGGATTAAAAACAAGTTAAAAACAATTAATTCTATTTCAGAAGTTCAGGAATATAACATATATCATTCAGAGCTCAATTTGACATTGTGAATACCATCTGATTTTGAGATCTTGTTTTAAAGAAATTACAAGCCCTACTCTGCACTAAACTTTAAATGGGAAAAACAGGTCCGGAATGGTGGCTCATTCCAGCACTTTGGGAGGCCGAGGTAGGTAGATCGCTTGAGCCTGGTAGGTCAAGACTGCAGTGAGCCATGATCACGCCACAGCACCCCAGCCTGGGCAACAGAGGGAGACCCCCATCTCAAAAGACACAAACAAAAGTGAAAACCAACAAATAAATTTGGAAGAACATCTCAAAGATTACCTATAGTTTTGGTCCAAATGTATTATACATGTGAAAAAGGAGGCACTCATATGTTTTGGTTTATCAGTGTAGCTGGACAAGCCTGGCAATTAAAGTAATATACACGAAAAACAGCAGAATTCCTCCTTGTCAATGTTCTTTTCCAAGAATGACATTCCACATGAGCCAAATGCTATTTGATCTAAACTAGACCTCCTTCTGTGCTTGTGTGTGTGTGTGTGTGTGTGTGTGTGTGTGTATATATATTTTTTTTTTTTTTTTTTGAGAGGGAGTGTCCTTCTGTTGCCCAGGCTGGAGTGCAGTGGTGCAATCTCAGCTCACTGCAACCTCTGCCTCCCAGGTTCAAGCGATTCTCGTGCCTCAGCCTCCTGAGTAGCTGGGATTACAGATGTGCACCACCATGCCTGGCTAAATTTTGTATTTTTAGTAGAAACAGGGTTTCACCATGTTGGCCAAGCTGGTCTCAAACTCCTGACCTCAACCCAAAGTGCTGGGATTACAGGCATGAGCCACCGCCCCCAGCCTGTGCTTGTGTGTGTATGTGTATGTGTGTATATGTGTGTGTGTGTGTGTGTGTATTTTTTTTCTTTTTTTTTTTTTTTAGAGTCTCACTCTGTCATCCAGGTTGGAGTGTGGTGGCGTGATCTCAGCTCACTGCAACCTCCACCTCCCGGGTTCAAGCAATTCTCCTGCCTCAGCCTCCTGAGTAGCTGGGATCACAGGAGCGCACCACCACGCCCAGCTAATTTTAGTATTTTTAGTAGAGACAGGGTTTCACCATGTTGACCAGGCTGGTCTCAAACTCCTAACCTCATGATCCGCCCACCTCGGCCTCCCAAAGTGCTGGCATTATGGGCGTGAGCCACCGCACCCGGCCTGTGCTGGTATATATTCTTAAGTGAGGACAGGAAAACAAAGAGCAGAGTTTTCAAAGGTGAAGTTGGCAGTGTCACACACAGTACCTTTTGATGGCCACCAGCTCCCCGGATTCATTACTCTTGCCCATAAGCACACTCCCATACGTGCCATCCCCCAACTGTCTCATGGTTGTGTATCGGTTCATCTTGGAAAAATAATGCAGCAGAAGCTGTTGATTGCAATGACTTCCTTGTTGAATATAAATTTGAACGCTTCTTAATTTTTATTTGTTTTTGTTCTCACACTGTTGTTGCTACACTGGTGACAGGTTTGTCATCATTCAATATAGGCTCCTCCCCAAGATTACAAAGGTTCACGAGATACAGCATGAAGAAATCTGGCAGGAAACAGCGCTTCCATTCTTATAGACACCCTAAAGAAAGAAAACAAGGATATCATGAATTTTCATTAACAAATCTCTTCAAAAATTGTATTGGCAACTTAGAGCAAAGGGAAAAATTATAAATAATATAAATACTATTGTGTCAATTATTTGTCAGTAACTCATTTGTCTATCTAAAATGAAGTTCACATATAACTCACTGGTAATATTCACTTGCTAAATGCCTCATTTACATGGTACTGTGCTATTTATGTTCAATAATGGCATAATGGCTTGTATGAGTCCTTTGTTACTAAATATAATCTATTATTCCAAATCAGACCTTGGAAAATTAATGTCTATATTATATCCATTCTTTGAATCAATTTTTGTATCGTATTTAATTTGGCATATTATTTAAAACTGTACTACTTGTAAATTTTCTGTGGAATATAAGTACCCCAATTGGGTAAGGTAAGTATAAAGCAAACTTTTGTTTCGTATGAAAGGAATAGCATTATTTTAAAATTTCGTATTCTATTTAAATAACATGCTACTTTATTTTACATCAAACTAAGAAAAATTTAAATACTAATTAGAATTTAGTGTCACACTAGATTCATACAAAGAAATAAGAAACAGCTGGGCGTGGTGGCTGATGCCTGTAATCCCATTGATTTGGGAGGCCAAGGCAGGAGGACTGTTGAGGCCAGGAGTTTGAGACCAGCCTGGGCACCATATCATACCCTTCTTTACAAAAACTAAAAAATTAGCTGGGCTTAGTGGCACGCTTGTAGTCTCAGCTACTTGGGAGGCTAAGGCATGAGGATTGCTTGAGCCCAGGAGTTCAAGGTTACAGTGAGCTATGACCATACCACTAAACTCCATCCTGGGTGACAGAGTAAGACTTTGTCTCTAAAAATAATTTTTTTTAATAAATAAAAAAGGGAAGTGGAGCCTGAAGATGTGACTGAAATGTTGTAATGTCATAATCAAACTTGAATAAGTAAGGAATTGTTTCTTACGGATGAACAAAGAAAATTTTTTATTGAGATGGAATCTACTTCTGGTAGAGATGCTATTAACACTGCTGAAAAGACAAAAAAGAATTTTTTTTTTTGAGACAGAGTGAGACTCTGGTTGGAGTGCAGTGGCACAATCTTGGCTCACTGCAACCTCTGCCTCCCAGGATCAAGTGATTTTTGTTCCTCAGTCCTCACCCATCACCATCACTCCCCCAGTAGCTGGGATTACAGGTGTGCACCACCACACCTGGCTAATTTTTATACTTTTAGTAGAGATGGGGTTTTGCCATGTTGGCCAAGCTGGTCTCGAACTCCTGGCCTCAGTGATCCACCCACCTTGGCATCCCAAAGTACTGGGATTACAGGCATGAACCAGTGCCCAGTCAAGAACAAAGGATTTAGAATATTACATAAACTGAGTTGACAAAGCAGTGGCAGGATTTGAGAAGACTGACTTCAATTTTGAAAGAAGTTCTACTGTAGGTAAAATGCTATCAAACAGTCTCACATATTACAGATAAACCTTTTATGAAAGGAAAAGTCTGTCAATGTAGCAAATATCATTGTTGTCTTATTTTGAGAAATGGTCACAGCCATCCCAACCTTCAGCAGCCACCACCCTGATCGTTCAGCAGCCATCAACACAGAGGCAAAAAACCTCCACTAGCAAAATGATTATGACTCACTGAAGGCTCAGATAATGAGCATTTTTTAGCAATAAGTTTTTTTTTTTTTTATGACAGCCTCTCGAGTAGCTGGGACTATAGGCACAAGCTACCACGCCCAGTTATTTTTTGTATTTTTAGTAGAAACAGGGTTTCACCATGTTGGCCAGGCTGGTCTCAAACTCCTGACCTCAAGTAATCCACCTGCCTCCACCTCCCGACGTGTTGGGATAACAGGTGTGAGCCACCGCACTCGGCTGCAATAAGATATTTTTAAATTAAGGTATGTATATTATTTTTCTAGACAAAATGCTATTGCATACTAAATAGACTACAGTATAATGTAAACATAATTTGTATATGTACTTTGAAACCCAAAACCATGTGTGACTTGCTTTATTGCAATATTCACTTTATTGCCGTGGTCTGGAGCTAAACCCACAGTATCTCCGAGGTGTGTCTGTAGTTTGTTTTAAAGTGCCTTTTATCACTTAGTTCTTCATTCAAAGAATATTTTTCTCTCACTGTAGCACTTTCATTTACATCATAGAAACTGCTTCTCTATTATATGCAGGAATGTAAGACCAACAAGGACATGTTATATTTGTCAAAATACTTAAGATTTCCCAACACAGCCTTTCCCAGAAAACAAACATAAACATGAGCAGACATAAGCGTGCAGAGAAGCACAGTAAAGCTATGTTGTTTCCTATTTACAGGAATGGATCTGTTCACAGAAAACTGGAGAAGAATCCTGTGGGGCTTTTAATAACAGGAAGTGTGGGCCGGGCACCGTGGCTCATGCCTGTAATCCCAACACTTTGGGAGGCCAAGGCAGGTGGATCTCCTGAGGTCAGGTGTTTGAGACCCGCCTGGCCAACATGGTAAAACTTCATCTCTACTAAAAATATAAAAATTAGCTGGGTGTGGTGGTGCAGGCCTGTAGCCCCAGTTACTAAGGAGGCTGAGGCAGGAGAATCACTTGAACCCGGGAGGCAGAGGTTACAGTGAGCCAAGATTACACCACTGCACTCTGGCCTGGGCAACAGAGCGAGACTCTTGTCTCAAAATAATAATAATGATAATAGGGAGTATGTATTTAACATTTCTCTTACTTCATGTAGGTAACAATCCCTTCAAAGGCACATATGAAATAATTTACGCTATGCTAACTCCATGGCCAGGATCTTGAAAAAGAGACCCTGACAGCAGATTCCATTTCTATTTAGGATTTTCTTCATTTTTGTCAGATTAAGCCTGAACTAATAATCATAAATACCAGCAAATGGTTCCCCATTTGTCTGAGAAAGAATAGTTTTTGTAAGTCATTGTCACCTTATGCATAGATACTGATTCCAAATATTAAGGCGTTAATGTAGAGAAAGGCAGTATCTCTTTCTACATGGTTTCTGATCAAAACATGAATTTGCTTTTCTTCATTTTGCCTTTATCTCTATAAGCAAATATAATTTGGAAAAACCTTTTGGGTTGTTTTGTTTTGTACTAACGTTAAACAAAACATGGACTAAAGTATATTTCTTCTCACTTAGGATTTTATTAAATCAGTATTTTGCAATTTATCACCAGCATATTAAATGGCTGTACACTCTTTTCTAGCTACCCTATTTAAGGTGGCATGTAACTATCTCTTTTAGGAAATATGTTCACTCTAGGTTTACTAATTCTTTCTGATTAAGTAAGCATATAGAGAATATATTTGAACAAAAGGCCATCATGTTCCTCATGACAGTAAGATCGTAAAATAAAAACATGGAAGGATTAAATGACCTGTCTAGGATCAACTAGAGAATCAACGATGGAGTCAATCCAATGAGCGCATTTGGCTTGAAGCTGTTGGTTTTTCAGGGACGTCTCCAACTTTTAAACAAGCCATTCTTAGGAACTGGTGCCAGCTCTTACTATCCCTAATGAGGCTAAAGAAAACATCCTCTTTGCTCCAAAACCATGCAGACTAAGCTCCACAACTGAAGTCACCTACTCCAACCTCCACCTTAAGATTTCTAATGCAGCTCCTCACTCAAACACTAAGATATTGCTGACTAACTGGAAAGTGAAGTGGGACTACTCCAAAACCTGACTAAACCCTAGGGCTACCTCTGGGTCATTCAGACCAGTGAAAAATAATAGAAACAGTAAAGGGAAAGAGTGAGACCTTAGAACTTGAATGGTTAAGGGAGAAAGAACCTAGGTGGAGCTCCTCTCATGAAAATTATTATTATAATTATTATTATTTGAGACAGAGTCTCGCTCTGTGCTGGGTCCAACCCGCAGACCCTGGCTGAACAACAGATCAAAGAATGCACTCAGGTACAGGTATCCAGTGAAAGAGCAGGCTAGGGGACCGGGCAGCACACAGACCGCAGCAGGGTGCCGTAAACCATGGCCCTGACCAGCTGGCGCTGCAGGCATTTATTCGGCACAGATTTAATGACAAAGGCTTTGAGTTAACACACTTGTGGGTAATCAACATGGTCACCCCCCCACGCCCCCACCACCCCCAAGAAAGCAGTCCTGCCCACGGATGATTAAATGCTAGGTTCTGAGGCCTACCTAAACTAACTTATCTAGATCAGTTTCTTTACCTTCCCTTGTTATCCAACCTAAACTCTTAAGAGAATTCAGCTGCCTTCAGCCAAATTTTCTTTCGAAGCTTTGCAAACCCCTGGCCTTCAAAGAAGGTTTGCATCTTTCTACGATTTTTCCTACCACCCTGACCGATCTCCTACAGCTCTGTTGCCTAGGCTGGAGTGCAGTGGTGCTATCTCTGCTCACTGCAACCTCCACCTCCTGGGTTCAAGCGACTCTCCTGCCTCAGCCTCCCGAGTAGTTGGGATTACAGGCACGTGCCACCACACCCAGATGTTTTTTGTACTTTTAGTAGAGATGGGGTTTCACCATGTTGGCCAGGCTAGTCTTGAACTCCTGACCTCATGTGATCCACCTGCCTCGGCCTCCCAAAGTGCTGGGATTTACAGGCATGAACCACTGCACCCGGACATGAAAATGATTTAATTCAGAAACATAATGGTATGATAGCATCATCTTTTTTTTAACCAAATTATTTTCAGGTTAACACCTAACCAAGGACAAGCATTTGAGGGTATGAAGGGTAGAAAAGTAATGTAGACAATTCTGAAAAAGGACATATTACTTGAGAAGGGAATGGAAGAGGGAGCTGCCTCTAGTAGCATGGTAATGATGGTAGTGAGTGTTATTCAGGGAAGTGGAAACAGAGTGACAAAAAAATTTACCTTCATTGGCCCAACAATCTAAAAAATAAGAATTAATTACACCTCTCTCTTCCACTGTTAAGGCCATCAGCCACCCCATCGCCACCGCCCTGGGGTGGGAGGGTGACCTGAAGCTGTACCAGCACTATCGACACAATAGAGCATTCGGTCACCGATGACTTTTGGCCCAGACGGGGGCACGCACGGTGTCTTTGCGAGTAGCTATTGTGGCAACTTCATTCCAAGCCTAACCAATCAACTTCTGAATAAACACCGGCAACAACAATTGTCTGTCCACTGATGATGGCTATAGGATAGTGTGTACTTATATTGAGGGAAGAATAAGCAAGGAACAAGACCATTTCCCAGCTCCTTTCTGTTTGAGGGGTGGAGTGGTGAGGATTATGGACGTGACATAGATTTTTAAAAGGTCAGATTAGTGGTTCTGTGAGCATCTGTCCCATTTAAGCCCTAGCTAACCTTTAAGTAAAACAAGTTTACATACTGCGCTCCCTAAGAAAAAACTTTGGAAAGGCTCCTTTCGAACTGTATTAATTACAAAATCAACAGCTGCCCAGGGTGAGAAGCTGATCATTGCCAACTGTTTCTTCTATCCCCTGAACATACAAGGACAACGGTCTAATGTAGAGACATAGATATAAAGGTAAAGCTTTTAAAAAAAATCATGATTTCCATGTCCCTGTTCCCTGATAGCACATAAGCAACTACTTTAACCAAGGTAGCATAGTAACTACTGATTACTAATCAAAAAGCAGTCTATGTTCCTTAAACACAGGCTTCCCATAATTCTACAGTTCACGCACAGTAATATTCCTCTACAAGTTACACATACTCTTCTCTGTTGATCCATGGAAAACTAATTCTACAAAATAGGGATATATTAACACAGTTTCTTATGTACCTGAATATATATAGATATGATACATATGCAACAACACAAAACCCAAGTAAATCTAACTATTATCCTCAATTTAACAGAATGGTTAAAAACTTGGAATTTTCTACAATCAAGCTATAATAGTTATTGACTTTCCTACGGGTTAAAGAAAAAGATGCTTATTTAGAGGTTTAATTATAGACCTACACAAAAATAAATACCCTTATAATTTATCTCTCATTCCAGTTTTCAACTTTTTAATCTAAGTTCATAATTACCGTTTATTTAAGTGCACAATTGTTGTAAATCTGGCCTTTATTCTCAACAGCTTTTGCCAGCTAATAAGAGATTCAGACAGGATTAAAGAAGATTAACATAGAGGGCAAATGAAGGATAAAACTAGTGTCTGCCAATCACTGAACAGATAAGGCTTGGATGTCTTCAACTTGGCTTTCTAGCACATACTACAATTATGTCACTCCGAGGCTGGCATTAACGCTTCTAATACATAACAAAAGAGTAATTAACGTTTTCAAAGTAACCAAATTCTTTAAAAAGCAACACAGGAAAAAAGATCCCAAACTAACCAAGTCGAAGGTTTACAGAAATTAAATAAAGCTATTACGATGGAAAAACAAAGACTGTATCTTAAAATATAAAAGCACAGTTCTCTGTGCTGATATTCACAAATTATTTCAAAGCTCACACACAAATAAACAAAGTCCACCCCTACGAAAAGATTAAACGTCCTGCCTTGCGCCTGCAGTGGAAGCAGGCGGTGACGCGGTCCGCGGAACTCTCTCCCTCCCGGTCAAGCCTCGGGAATTGAAGGGCCGGGGAGGCGGGGCCCGACGGAAAAGCTGGAAAGTCACTTTTGTCTTCACCATTATTTCACTCAGTGGGTTGTCTTTCTGAATAAATTAAGTCCGATAACTTTGGCTTCCCTCTTTGAGAATTCCGTTATCATTAGAACAAATGTTTGTTTCTTTGAAACGATTATCTAAACACAATTGCATACAGCTCTTTCCTTGTAGGATTGAGATTACTAACCACTAAAAACCAGTTTTATTGCTCTCGACACCGCACTCTTGACCTGTCCCTAAATTAAAACGTATTATTTGCAGAAAAGGGACAGGTTTCGTCACACGCTTTCTGATCCCACTCTGCAAACCAGGGCCCTTAAGAGGCTCCGGGGACCGCGTGGTGGAAGGGGGCGTCCCCCGGTGCCTGCTGTCCGGCGCCGTCGCGGGGACGCGGGTGTGCGGGATACCACTTTCATCTGAGCGTCCTTTGGGATGCACCAGCGAGGGCTGAAGTCGGACCTAGTTCCTGTTTTTCTCCCTTCTTTTAGATTTTGCAACAGTTCTGAACTCAATTCCGCGGCCTCCCTGAGACCCAATCCTGCCTCTCTGTCCTAAAAGCAGTTTCCACCGCCAGCCCAAGCAGCAGAGGAGAGGAGGAGGGCGCAGAGGTGGGAAACCCCGGAGGAGAGGTTCGGCGCGGGGGTCTCTCAGGCTAAGGGACGCCCCGCCGTCATCCTCCCACGCCAGGCCGGCCCCCGCGGTCCAGGAGGCGGGAAAGCGGTCCGGAGGTCTGGGAGACACCCACTGCCTTCCCTCGGGCGGACCATTCCCGCCCGCTCCGCCCCTCTAGGGACCCTCCTCCCTCCCGTACTTCTCCTACCCGCGTCAGGGACCCGTCTCCCGGCGGAGATTGGCCCTGGTAGCACAGGGCGCCGTGGGGACATGCCTGGCCAGCCTCGCAAGTCGGGCTCGGGCTGGGTCGGACAGAGGGTGGTGGCCCCGCAGCCCGCTCGGGATTACCTGCCCGCGCCGGCCGCTTACCTAGTTCGCTCACTTGTGAAGCTCCGGCGTCTTCTGTGTTTCATCTCCTAGGAAACGGCGGGGGCAGCGGGCGGTCCTACGGCCCGCCCAGAGAGGGCGTGGCCTCGCGGGAAATCCCCGCCAATCCCACAGGCCCCGCCTTCTCCGGGGCGGGGCTTCAGGGAGCAGGGGACCTGTCGGCTGAGCTGCAGCAAGTGTGCCATTTAGACTTGGGGTTTAGGGGAGTTAATTACCTTTTCGGTCAGTTCTTTCTCAGAAGTTGGTTTGTTTGCCCTTTATTTTGTTTTGGTTTTGTTCCGATTCATTCTACAAAGTCTTGATTAATTAAAATGTTTCCCAGACCCGGCAGAGCAAGAGAAGGATGTCTGTTTGCCTCTTACTTGCACTTGTTTATGCCTGGGGAAAAACTGTTCTCGTATGCAGTTCCTTATATTGGTCAATTCCTCGGGTACGTATTATCGCTTGGGCTGCACTTCTAAGTTTGTTTCCATTCATTCATTCAGAGAACCTGCCTAGTATCAGCCACAGGGTTAGATAGTGGTAATTCGAAGAAGAATGAATAAATGTGTGAATAAATGGATAAATTGTAACTAGTCTAGAATTTAGAGAGGAGGAGACACTTGTGTTACTGCAAATAGTTCAGATTGGCTGGCAAAAAGGGTCTATGAAACAGAAACATAAGCGATGAAGCAGTGGTGCGGCCAGTTAGTATTAGGTGTCAGGCTGCGGGCTTGGGACCAAGAATGGTGCCAAGGTAGATACGACAGACATGCTTGTGGCCCTCACAGCTTAAAGTGAAGTAGGCTTTCTCGCGTATGTTTATGGCAGCACAATTCACAATTGCATTGATGTGGAACCAACCTAAGTGCCCGTTGACTAATGAGTGGATAAAGAAAATGTGGTGTATATACACCATAGGATGCTACTCAGCCACAAAAAAAGAATGAAATAATGTCTTCTACAACAACTTGGAAGAGTGGGAGGTCATTATTCTATGCGAAGTTATACAGGAGTGGAAAACCAAAAACTGTATGATCTCACTTGTAAGCAAAAGCAAAGCTATGAGTATGCAAAGACATATAGAGTGAAATAACGGACTTTGGAGACTCAGAAAGGGGAGGATGGGAGAGGGGCTAGGGATTAAAAAAACTATGCACTATCTCAGAATTCACCACTATATAATTCATCTATGTAACAAAAAACTACTTGTAGCCCAAGAGCTATTGAAATAAAAATTTAAAAACAGGCTGGGCTCAGTGGCTCATGTCTGTAATCCCAGCACTTTGGGAGGCCGAGGTGGGTGGATTACCTGAGGTCAGGAGTTCAAGAACAGCCTGGCCAACATGGTGAAACCCCATCTCTACTAAAAGTACAAAAAACATTTGGGTGTGGTGGCACGTGCCTGTAATCCCAGCTACTTGGGAGGCTGAGGCAGGAGAATCACTTGAACCCAGGAGGCAGAGGTTGCAGTGAGCTGAGATCATACCACTGCACTCCAGCCTGGGTGACTGAGCAAGACTCTATCTCAAAATAATAATGATGATAATAAATAGCCGGGCGCAGTGGCTCATGCCAGCACTTTGGGAGGCTGAGGTGGGCGGATCACCTGAGGTCGGGAGTTTGAGACCAGTCTGACCAACATGGAGAAACCCCATCTCTACTGAAAATACAAAAAATTAGCCAGGCGTGGTGGTGCATGCCTGTAATCCCAGCTACTCAGGAGGTTGAGGTAGGAGAATAACTTGAACCCAGGAGGCAGAGGTGGTGGTGAGCTGAGATCACACCATTGCACTCCAGCCTGGGCAGCAAGAGTGAAACTCCGTCTCAAAAATAAGAATAATAAATAAAAGATTCATTGCTCTCCAATAAATAAGTGAAGTAGGCAGGTAAAGTAAAAAGCATAAGTTTGATAGGTCCTAGCGGCTTTATATACCCAGTTATGAAGCCTAAGCTTTAACATGTGTCAATGAGGAGGACCAGTGAAGAATCTCTCACAGAAGAGTGACATGTTCACATTTGCATTTTAGGAAGATCCCAAGAGCAGCAGTGGGTAGGGTAGATTTGAGCTGCGAGTCTGCAGGCAAGAGAAAGATTGGGAGTCTACTGCAACTGATTGGGAAGAAATGATAAGGATCCAACTCTAGTAGTGATGATGGAAATAGGACAGAGAAAGAATTCAAGGGATGTTTAGGAGTTAAAATTGGCAGGACCATCAGCCTTGGATGAATGGTGGATAGTGGCATCCATGACCAAGGTGGAAAATAATGGAGGAGGAGCTGATTTAGGGATGGAGGATGTGAGAGATAATAAGCCCAGTTTTGAAATTTTCAAATTGAGGAAAATCCTAATGCAGATTACAAGAAGGGAGTTTGAAATATAGATTTGTAACTTAGGGTTCTTTTAGAGCTAGAAATGCAGATATGTTGGGATACTGTGGATGAAATCACGGATATAGATGAAATAAACTGTAAGAAGAGAAAAGGGATGGGATTCTGGAAAACTCTATCCTCTAAAAAGTGGAGAAAGAAAGAGTAGGGGTGAGGAAGAGACAGATTGAAAAAAGAAAAGCCAGGGAAGTAGTAGGAGATAGCTCAGAAAAATGGTATTTCAGAATGAGGAAAGGTAGGTTTCCCAAAAGAAAGATAAAGAGAAAGGAAAGAAGGAAAGAGGGAGAAAAACAAAAACAGAACAAATGGCATTTATTCCGTCTGAAGAGCTCTTCTGTTTCAAAACAAGTAGAGCATGCACAAAACATATTTTTTCGTCACATTTCACAATAGGAAGAATACAAATTCTCTAAGCACTCCTAACCCCTCCTAAAAGGTACCTAATATCTGAGCAGAGCAGTGAACGTACCTGAAAGGCAAAGGTGGCCCAAAGGCAAATCCCATTTCAGCATTTCAAGTAGCTGATGAAGCCTTGGACCCATGGGAATAGGGCTGAGCTGGACCAGGCACTAGAAAATCAACCAGAGGAGCTTAGAAGGGGTCGAAGTGGTCCCAGATCAGGAGCACCATCTGGATCCCAAAGGAAACAAACACAGTCATCTCTGAAGAAGGCATCCTCAACTTAGGCCTCTAGGTTTTTCAAAAAATATGAGCTCATGACCGCAGAGGAATGAACACCGTCAAATGAGAATCTAGAAAAAGCAACAATTATTCAGACTTTCCAGGATTTCTGAAATTGGAAAAATCAGCTTGAATGCAAAATAGCTATATATGAAATATATAGAGAAATAGAAGAAGGAATAGCAAAAATGAACAGAAATCAATCAGGAATATTAGAAAAGGAATTAAATAAACTGTTAGAAAGAAACACAACTATTGAAACTTTAAAAATGAGTTACATGTTGTATTAGAAGAAAAGAAAGAATTAGGGAATTGGCATAAAATCTGTAGAAAGTACCTAGAATATAGCATATAAAAGATAAGAAGATGAGAAATACTAATCAGAAATTAAGAGATATGATGGATAAAATAAGAAAGTCTAACATGACATGGGTCTAAATAAATTCTAAGAAGTAGATTTGTTGTTGATAATGCATTGCTACAGTAGTTGTTGTTTTTGGGTTTTTTTGTTTGTTTTGTGTGGTTTTTTATTTTTTATTTATTTATTATTTATTATTATTATTATTATTATTATTATTATTATTTTTTTGAGACGGAGCATTGCTCTGTTGCCCAGGCTAGAGTGCAGTGGAACGATTTCGGCTCACTGCAACCTCCACCTCCTGGGTTCAACTGATTATCCTGCCTCAGCCTTCCGAGTAGCTGGGACTGCAGACGCACGCCATCATGCCCGGCTAATTTTGTATTTCTGGTAGAGACAGGGTTTCACCATATTAGTCAGGCTGGTCTTGAACTCCTGACCTCAGGTGATCCACCCGCCTCAGCCTCCCAAAGTGCTGGCATTAGAGGGGTGAGCCACTGTGCCAGACCAGCTGCAGTAGTTCTAATAAAATTTATCTATATGGTAGAATCAAGCAAATATTGATACTGTTGAAAATCAGAGTTCTTATTTGGGAAAAGAGAGATAAAGATATACAATGGAGAAAGAAGAGGAAGAATCTGTGGTATCAGTTTTGACTTGGAGGTAGCAAGATGAACACATGACTTACTAAAAATTACTTCCTAGCTCTGTTCACTGAAAGGATCTAGAAACAATGACAGTACAGTAACATGAACAGATTAACACCCAAGTCCTGGTTTTGTAATACTATTATTTACTTAAAGGAAATAGGACTCCTTGGAGAAGTGGCTGATTCCATGCCTGGGCAAGGAAAGTCCAAGGTAGTCTTAAAATGTATCATGCCCACCTAACAAAAGTTAAAGATTCTGTTTTACCAAGCCACCGAACACTACAAGGACTTTATAGTTCTTTAATTCAGATTACCCATTCAATGTATGTGTTAATGTCATCTAATATTTTAGTTTATATTTATAACCCTATAGATTGGTCTGTTATTTTACATTCAGATTATTTTTACATTGATACATATGATGATTTCTTTGCTCATCTTATCTTTTTGTACCTCAGACCTTCCTTCATCCTAAAGTGTAACTTTTAGAAGTTCCTTTACAGTAGGTCTGTTGGTGGTAAAATGTTGCAGTTGCTTTTTGTTTTTATTTTTATTTTTGACAGAGTCTCACACTGTCGTCCAACCTGGAGTGCAGTGGCATGACCTTGGCTCACTGCAAGCTCTGCCTCCCGGGTTCACCATTCTCCTGCCTCAGCCTGCCGAGTAGCTGGGACTACAGGCACCTGCCACCACGCCCGGCTAATTTTTTGTATTTTTAGTAGAGACGAGGTTTCACCATGTTGGCCAGGATGCTCTCAATCTCCTGACCTCATGATCCGCCCACCTCGACCTCCCAAAGTGCTGAGATTACTACAGGCATGAGCCACCGCGCCCGGCTTTGTTTTTATTTTTTAAAAATCTCTCTTTGCCCTTGCTCTTGCAACATGGTTTTCTTAGGTACAATTCTAGTAGTTTGAGAGTTATTACTTCTCAGTACCATGAGGAGAAATTTTCGTTTGAACAGAAATGTTCATTTCATCTTCCAGTATCCATTTTTACTGTTAAGAAG